TATATGGGTGTAAATATTATATTAGGTGTAAATGTTTTTTTTTTTTATCAAAATGTATAGATGGATTTATCCCCTCTTTTTCTCTCTTTATGTGTGTCAGGGTCCAAACCCAAAATTCTGGCTCCTCAGTGGGAAATAATGGCCAAGAGGGTGTCTGAAGCAGGTCGAACTTCCTCTGGCCTGCAGGATGAGGTTCATGAGCTGGACTGACCTCTGCTTTGACAACTGACTGCTACACTCTGACCAGATGAGCAGGTACAGCTCTCCTGACCATTTCAAATTAAGTAGATCATTTAATAAATTTGAGCTTTAAAAATGTTTAGATTAAAAAAAAAAAACTTCCATCAGAAACAAATGTAAAATGTGTATATACACTCCAGTTCAAAACTTTTTTTAAATAACACAATCTAACCATCCCCAAACTTTTAAACAGATTACTCCTCCTATTCCAACTGCTTAAAAATACTCCTAAATTTGATCTTTTCTGGCCTATTTTTTATTTATTTTTTTTATTATATCGTGTAACACTTCCAAATAGGGGTATTAATTTTTTTAATGTGTAACTTTCATGTACAAGTTTGAATACTGTAAATAGCTTATGTCATTGTATTATTTGTAATGCTGTAAATATATGTTTTCAGTACATAGCACTAATTCCAACTAGGGGTGTGCGATATATATCGTCTGCGATAATATCGTAATTGTTGTTTTAACATTGTGCGATTTGACATTATCGAGTATTTTGCAAAAAACTTTCAAAACACCCCTACAGAGTGCACGCATACATTACGTGAAGTCTAGACTAGAGTGCTGATGATCCAGTCTATCACAATACATTTAGAATGATCACAAATTCAAGACATGGGGTCAGAAAATGTATATATTTATACCACTTCAAATAGCCTAGTTAATCAATTTCACACGAAGAGTGCCGTTTTTCTCTCCAAAAATGACAATGATGGCCAATGATGAGCAACATGAAGCGGTTTTGTTCCTGAATGAATCAATCGTTTAAATGATTCGGTTCAATCGCATTGACTCACTTATTAACAGTGACTTGCTGCCACTTACTGGCAGTTTTAATTTCACATTCAGAGTATTTTTTATTATTTAAATAATTTCAAATATCAGTATTCAAAAGATAATGGACACTTTTAGAAAAAAAAAAGGCTATATAAAGGTCAAAAATCAGTTAAAACTTATTGGAAGTTTATACCGGTATCAATTTTTCATGTTGTGATTAATTGCTAATGCTTTTATCACGGTATGCGGTATTATCACGATATTGAAATTTAGTTTAAAAAAGTGCTGTCATAATACAGT